CACTGCACTGCCCAATAACTCAGTGCAATCTTCCATGTTCTGGATACATGAGAAACCTAAAGCATTTCTGAAGCTAAGAATTTCTTACCATCAAGCCTGGCTGCAACTCAGATATTAATTATGTATGTTGGTAACATTCTGGCAAATCACATTTCCATGGTTTAAGACATTATGGCCCTACAAATGACCTCTTTTTTCTGAAGGTCACTGACCCTTCAACAGCTGCTGGCTAAAAAAAAATAAATAAATAAGATTTTGTGCATGTCTGTGGGCTTCACTTTCTTTGATGTAAAGTCAAATCCAATGCAAAGGGAAACCTATATCTGCCAACATCTCCTCATCCTCCTCCCTTCCTCCTCTATGTTTGAAACTAAGTCACTGGATTTCACCAGCCAAAGTGGACATCTTCCACTGGCTTTGGTGCAGAGACAATACTCTCATGCCTAGGGAGAATAACACCCTAAAACATTACTCCTTATTAAGTGGGTGTGTGTCACAGGGCCTTTTCCCATTTATCAGTCTAGTGATTTAAGAACATCCCTACGAAGCACATATATGTTGAAATTATCATAGCATTATAGAAGCAATCAGAACTGATGCATCTGGAGAAACTGGAAAGGAAGGGGTTAGTATTGCAATTGAAATTGTTAAAAATAGATAACTGCTATAGGAAGATATGCTTTCCTCCTGCTCATCTGCTCACATTGATATTTAGAAAAAGAGCAGGAGAAAATGCTAGTGGAAATAGTTGCTATTCAGTGTAAATAGCACATGCCTGCAAGAGAACTAAGGAAAGTTGCATGAAGTTTTTTCTAAAACTTTTTTGTTTGAAGGGAAAAACAAAAACAAACAAACAAAAAACCTGAAATGAGATGAACATGGGTTTTATTGCAATAATAAATTTACTTTATAAATCAGGTGACTCATGAGCCTGTAATCTTCCACCAGGAAGGAAAAATGAGGTGGAAACTAGAGTAACATATACAAGATTTCATGATAGGATTGCCTGGTAAACTGCTATAACTTTTTTGCTTTCCTAGTCCTGCTTCTAGGACTAGGAAAGCTGCTAAACCTCAACATCATGTAACCTGTAACTTCACCAGAATGATACCTTTTTTGCTGCAAGGTTCTTAAGGGTAACCTTTATTCCTCTAGCACTGCTGAAACTGTCCTTCTCTCACACAAAGACACAGCTGAGGTAAAAAAATTCTAGCAAGGCTTTTTTTTTTTGTTTCCTGCAAATCTGTAATGACAGTTGTTGATCCTGTTGTTCTGTATGATCTTATTTTCAAGGTATCTCATAGAGAATAAAAAGGAATGAATGGAATAGAAAAAAAAAACAATATAGAAAGGGAAAGACCAACATTTTCACCACAATATCTAATTAAATGATATGGCTTAACATATTAATAAAGCAAAAAGGATGTAATAGTTGACCTAAATTTTTTTGTGGAAGAGATAAAAAGTACACAAAACCAAACAACCAAAGCATACCTAAATTTAAATTTAGGACAAGTTTGGCTTTCTTCAGTTCCAAGGTGATATAGTCTCCTTGCTGTCCTTCTCCATGGAAGATTACACCTTCACTTTCAGAGGTCTTAAATTTTAAAGAGATGACATCTTTCAGTGTTTTCATTTTCTTGTTTCTGAATCTGTATGGTAACACTACATGGCCATCAAAATTGATAACATCAGCCCCTAAAGGAAAGAGCAAACAAAGTTGTTGATGAATGATTATATATTCCTGTGGTCATTGGAAAAAGAGACGTGACATCAGAATAAAAAATGTGCAAGTCTGATATGGTATTTATTTATTTAGGTATAAACCTATTTTCTTTTGACCCTAATTTAATAGTATGAAAAGTAAGAAGCAGGCAGGACATAAATTTAATCCACATGATATATATAAAAAAACCCCATGTTTGGTGTGACAAATACTACAACTGCATTCAACATCTTTTGGTTTCTTTCAAATATAATTGCTGTCATGCACACTTTCCTAACTATAATTGAAAATGAAAGACAAATTTCTGAGTGGTCATTAATGATGCCTCTTAATGCCTATTTAAAATCCAGTATAAGTATCTCTGAGGACTGTAAACAGTAGAACGTGAGCCCAAAGAAATTGCTTAGCAATCTTAAAAGATTCCTCAAACTGTATGTAAACCATAAGCATAAGCATTGTCTTGTTCAGCTTTATATGGAAATCTTGGGTAAGTTGTGACATTGGCTAGTTTTGAGAAGAAAGAAGTTCTGTCATTTGTGCTAATTTTTTTCCAGGTTTGGTTTTATTTAAAATCTGGTAAAAAAATGAAGGGATGGAATCATTATCATTTAAAGTCAATTTAATATTAATACAAAAGGTCCATAATGACACTACATAATTTTATGTTGATCTCTACTACAAAGAATGAGCCATAGTTTTCCACAATTTTCTGAAGGCTAGATCCACAGTAAAAAAAGCCACAGAAGTTGATTCCATTCAACAGACATACTTCTGCTGGGTATTAAGTCTTGTCTTTTATTCAAAATACACTTAAAAAATATTCATACTTCTTATTGTCATGTAATATTCATAGCAGTTATTTCACTCTCTGAATGAAATGAACAATGGCATTTCATAATATATTTTTCAGTGACAGCTGATTTTTGTCTGCTTCTGTAGGCTATTTGGTGACTGCTTGCAAATTTTAAAATTTCTAACTTGTTTTTGCTGTTATGGTGGGAAGTAATTTAAATCTTTCAGATTCTTTAAAAAATATAGAAACCAACCCACTCCTGTTATGCAATTAACACAGAAGAATCTTTTAAAATTCTATTAAAACACTTTGTATGCTATACCTAAATAAATGCATATATTTCAAATTAGAATTTGTGGTCTACACTAGCTGATTATGCTAATTGTAATAAGAACAAATGTCAAATACACATTTTAAAAATGCTTACTTTCAACTAATCTCTGAAATAATATTTTACACCTTGATTCAGAGAAGGGCCTAAACAAATGTGTACATCCACGCCTCTGTCTTGAGAATTTAGGAACCACCAAAATGGTTTGCTGAGTCAAGTTTTCTACTCTTGTGTCCCCAGTTGTTATCAAGGAACTGCTTACATATAACATCTATATAGGTTGTTTTGTCACATTTTGTAATTTTCAGAAAAACTTTTCACAGTGATATAAGAGGTATTGGAGTGTCAAAAAAAAAAAAAAAAAAAAAGAGCATTCAATCAAGCTTCATAATGTTTAGCGTTTATTTTCTAGAGAAAAGTATGTAAAACCTCAAACAATATTTCATAAATGATATCTATTTCATTGTTCATTTAAAAAATCCACAACCCATCTTGTATTCATTAACTAAAACTCACCCAATTGAGACTGAGCCTTGCAGTCATGTTGATTAAATGTCTATTCATACATCCCTACACCACTGAGCATAGCAAGTTTTCAAATATAAAGACCTGAGTTAATCATTATGTTGCCATCATTCAGTATTTTCCCCACAAATCACTAGTATAATAAATAGTTTTCTACTGCTTCCAAGTCATTTGTTTTGCTGACACAATGGTCCTCTGCATGCTGATGAAGTATGTGGTATCCATTTCTGGTTGATATAATAATTTCTTCTCTGTAGAGCTTTAATAAATCTGTGTGCATATTCACGTTATGGTCATTGTTGACACAAACTGTTGACTCTCTAAGGATTGTTACAAACTGCACAAGTTGGGAACTTTGCTACCTTACTGAAACCATGTTTATAGTTGCTAAGACTGGGATGAGGGAAGCATGACAGAGGACTGCTGTTGACCTACAGACCCACTTACTTTACTCTAAAGATAAAATTATGGATCTCAACAGAGCGTGGTTCATCAGAGCTTGTGATTTTGCCTGCACAGTGTTGCTGCTTATTAAGCTTAAGAGTTTTCAAGATAAGTAATGCCTTCTGCAAACCAGCATCAAACATGCATTTGAGAGCCTACTTGAGATCAAAAAGTAAGACATGCTATCTCATCTCATGGGAGGAGCACTAAACATGTCAAAAAAAGTTGTGTTAAACCTGGAATGTAAATCTAATCACACTACTTACCTTTTCAAGTTAGAGCAGAAAAAAAAAAGAAAAGAAATAAACTTTCTTCTTCTACTCACAACAGCCAAAGACTCCAGAAAATTCTTCCTGTGGGAGTTAAAAAGATCTAGGGGACTGAGGATACAGATTCTATAATACAAATTTCCTCATGTCTCCAAAAGACAGTCTTTCTCCTTTCTAAAAGATTAATAGGCATATGAAATGCATTTCTGTTTCACACTATTTGTTTAACATATTTGAATTGGTAGCTGCTGATTGTCATCAAACCGATGGGTAATAGCCCCTGAAAGACTTGAAGGCTCTTTCTAAGATTTATATATTTTTTTAATGCACACACATTTTTCAGAGTTTTAAATTTCTGAAGTTTTCATTCCAATCACTTCTTCAAATGCCAAGTCTTCCACAGCACTCTCTCACCCTTAATTACCAGGTTAGAAATAATGTGTGCCATGTATACCTTCCATTCTTGCTTTCTCTCACATTACCTAACTGGAAGTACAAGTTCTAGACTCTTCTTGTCATTAGAAAGAAGAGACGCAGGTAGACAGAGTTGTTATTTGCAAACAGTCATGCAGTATGTATTCATCTTTGGTCATTAGAAAATGAACTAAGACACTTGTCCCCAGAGGTGTCACACTTGTTACTAACAATTAACTCCACAACGAAACACATTACAAACATATAACTTGAATCTACCCCCAAACCTTCCTAAACCTGCAGAGACTTTTTATGAAATTATAAACTTTGACTCATTTATTGTTTATGCCAACTAAATGGTGAAGAAATTTTATTCAGTACATAAAACATGAGCATTATAAACTGACTGCAATATCTCCTATTTATTGGTATATTATATATATATATCATGTATATCATAATGCAGCAATATTTATATGGAACATCACTTTTTTTAATAAAACATGTTACAATACATATTCCAATAACAACTATTTATTAAACTCTAAGTGCAACTAAAATTCTCAGCCTAGTCTGGTTCTCCTGAATGACAAATTCCAGAAATGTGAATCATATCAAAATTAAATATCAGCACTGCATGGTTTATTTTCAGTGCAAGAAATCCATTTAAAAGTTATCAGCATTCAAGGAGGGACACATTTTCTCAGGCACAGATGCAGATGTTGCTCTCAGAAATGAGGTCACTGTAGTTCACATTCTGAGTCTGCATTCAGAAGCAATAGCATGTGATTTCAGAGATGGGGTTATCTTGCATATGCTCACGAGTCAAGTAAATACATTACTTCTGGAATTTGTTTTGAAGAAACAAAGAAAATTATTAGAAAAAACATTGTAACAGAGATTAGATCAATCTGTTGTTTTTGCTTGCCTTACAAGCTGTCAGGGGATCTAAGAAATGCCTTCCTGAGTTTTCCTATGTACTTTTAGAAAAAAACCCCAACTTTTAGAAAAACATGAGAACTGTTCAGGGAAAAAAAATATCTATGTGAAAGTCACTACTACCACAAAAATCATACTTCTATGAAAAGCAAATTTGCTATACAGATTATAAAACTTTTGAATCTACATACAGTTGCTGTGGTGGTACAATTCCCCCTCATTCACGGGCCTCTCGATACAGGGTACAACTCCCCTTCTTGGACCACACAGCAATCCACTGGAAAAGTACAGGCTGCAAAGGGCAGTGTACCAGGGCACTGAGGCACCCCCTTCATGCTCCTGGCTGCCGCCTCCCCCGTTCTCTCGGGACAATATTGACAATAACCTCCTGCTGTGGACCAGAGCACTGAGGTACTTACTCCCCTCCTTATCGTTTTGGATCATCAGTCAGCCCTCTTATGATCTGGTACACTTGTACTTGGATTGTGGCTCAGAGGGAAGATAGAAGAACCCAAATATCCAACAAGTTCTGCACATGCACAACTGACAAAAAAATACCAGGACCCTCAAGATCTAGATATGCGCAAATCAGAACACTGCAACACTCGGGCCAAAATGGAAATTACCTGACAAAAGGCAATTATCTCAGACCCTATAAATGGCAATCCAAAACGAGACTCTGAGGTCACCAGGATCGCAGTGGGCTGCATTCAGCATCTCTCCTGAGCTGGGACTCCTCTCAGGACTGCCTGTCAATGAAGTCATCACAAGACCTGGGCAAGACCACTGCCTCGAGACTCAACTCCTGCCAGCTGAGAGATGCTGATGAATTGTGAGTATTTACTCTAAACTCAAAGGGGGAAAATTTGACTACAAGCTAGCCTCTTTTACCCACCTCTCCGCCTATTTAGGTGTTTGATTTCATGCATTTGCTTTTATGACTGTGGGCATCTACACTGGCCAAGTATTTCTGTGTCTGTACGCTCAGTGTTTTTGCATATACACATGCTTTGGCTGGAGATACCTTACAGTAAGTTAATGTAAATTTTGTCAACATGAAACCTGTAATTAAGTCACTGTTTTACTAAATCACTTGTTACATTAAATGCTGCCAAACTCAGCCTTTGGTTTATCTCATTTTATTAATAAACCTTGAACTGTTGACAAATCAAACTTTGTCAAATTCATCCATGACAACTGCCTTGAACAAATGCTACAAGTGAAAGAAAATTGAGAAGCTTAACCAGCCTTCATAAC